CCTATTTATTGTTTTTTTTTTTTTTTTTAATTTATCTTATATCGTCTCTTGTGTTTTCCTTGCGTATTCCGAGAAGGATCCTTGCTCGTTATGGCCTGCTTTGATGCACTTTGCATTTATTGTGAAGAAAATTGGTATTACCTTCAGCAATTAAAATTTATATATTTTTTAACAAATTTATCGATGGCGCCTACTAAAAGTACTGAAGGCTATTAATAATAAAAAAGGCTTTGAATAATAAGAAAGGCTGTTTCTTATAATTCAAACCACTTTCGATTTTATTTAAGGTCTCCCTGCTAGCAAGGAAATCTTTATGGCTATGGCTTTGGAAATTAAAGCACAACTGGAGAAATTTGAAGCAGTGTTGAACTAAATTTAGGTGCTACATGAATCGTTAGAGGAGGTACATAGGATTGAGATAAACGTACCTATTTGAGCAGCGGGAGAACTTTATTATTAGATAGAAGTTGTTCATGAGAGATTAATTACAGCACAGCACATAGTAGTTCCCGCTTCTCAATCCAGCATATCTGAACTAGTAGCACATCCTAATTTGCCAGAGCTACAGATTCTTTAATTTTCTGGATAGTACGAACAATTTCCTTCGTTTAAATCATTATTTTTTTTCTTTTCCGGTCTGCACAGTCTGAAAATATTTGCACTAAAAAATCCATAACCCTGCAAAAATGTACTCCCTCAAAATTTTATTGACGCAACTTTCGTCATGCGAACCCTTTTTGGGCATCCCTACTATATTATATTGTTTATTTTCCGCTCATTAATTTTTCGAAGCAAACAAAAAACATTATTCAGGCTCCTTGTTCTCTCGAAACCTCGAGAAGACTGGTATTATCAGGTCTAGAAAAAATGCTTCAACTATGACACATTTCTTCTAAAAAAAAAAAAAGAAATCATTTTTTCCAAAGGTCATCAATTACGTACATAAGATTTTATGTAAATAGGGAAACATTGTTTTTTTTAACCTGTATAAATTTTATTACATAAATCAAAACGTTTTAATAAGATTAAAAAAGTTTGATTCCAGAACTTTAGTTTACGTTTTCTGAAATAATTTTTTAAAAAAAAACTGCGCTTAGCGCCAAGCTGCGCAAAATATTTTCTATATTTATAAGAATATAAAAAATGCTATAACATGAAGACAAACAAAAATTAGAAATATTTAGGTAGTTTTAGCGAGGATACTTCCTCTAATAATTTCTGATTCCAAGGAACATTTTTTAAGAAACGATAGATTTTTAGAAAGTATTTAAATTTAATTTATTTATAAATAGATGCGTTCTTAATACTTACAATTCACATTAAGAAAAATAACCTTACTAATTCCATCAGAAATTCCATTTTTAGCTTCACATAAGTAATGACCTTCACTTTCTTTACTAATATGGGAAAATTCCAATGATCCATTCCGATAAAAGTTGACATTTGGTTCATACAGAAAGTCTTTATATTCTCCAGGATGGTCACCTGAAATAAATATATACAATTTTCAATTTATATTTATATGTATTTTCAACAAAACCAGCAGAAAATACAATAGAGGAAAACAAGCGACGCTGGTTTGGCTATGTCAAAAGAATACAGCAGAGTATAATGTCCAAAACTATATGAAGTAGAAGTGGGATAATGAATGCCAGGAAGAAGGCCCAGAAAGATCTGGGAAGGTTCGGTCAGGGAGGATTTCGATAGGAAAGGAATAAACTGGAATAGACGCAGTTAGTTGGTGCAAGAGCGAGATAAATGGATCAGGTTCTATACAGGATCCTCTACACTGATCTACCATAGAAGAGGAATTGATTAAGAGAGATGTATTTTCAATTCACACAATATATATTTTGAGCGTGCTCCTGTGTATAAGAGCATTGTTATTAACTGAAAAATTAAGAATGTTTCTAGGAATACTCAAGTTGTATTCATCAGTGAAGATTAGGCTATAACAATATAATTTAGAGGCTTCCAAAGCCAAGTATATACTATTATTTATTGTAGAACTCGTTTGCAACCGCGCAGTGCACCTCGCACTGTCCCTTAGAGGAGAAAGCAGATAGGTTCCTTGGACATTGGATCTAACTTACGAGAAAAATTTAGTAGTAATTTAATTTATCGAAAATCGTCTGTTTATGAGTTTATGAGTTGGCAGAATAGGTGGAATGAAAGATATTAATAAAATATTATGTTTAGGTAAGTTACGATTTATGAAATAGTGCATTCACAATAGCTTTGCAAGCACCAGCTCTATAATCTTCTCTTACAAAATAATTATAATTTGGAACAAATTTACTCTCACACACTGATATGTGTAACACATTACTAAAAGATGGACCTACAAATAATTTTTTTTAATAGTTGGAAACCACAACTCGGTAACCACCGTAAGTCCATCGAAGCTTTAGCATTCCCCTCTGTCTTCTTCTGAAAACTGCTCTGTTAACAGCTTCCTTGGTATCTCTTCTTCATACGGACCACATGGCCAGCGCAACGTAGCTTTCCTATTACTATAGGAGTATAAAACTTAAGGAACATCAGGCTCTCAATATTTTTCTAAAACCTCTTGGCTGAACTTTCTCATATATTCATAGCCTACTTTCTTCCCTTCTAAACGCCTACGAAGAACTTTTCTTTCAAAGATTTAAAGCTCTTGTTCAATGTTCTTTGAACGTGTACATGCTTCAGAACGATAAAGATGTATTGGCCGTATTTCGATCTTATAGAGCCATATATTTGTTTGTCTAGGGAGGTCCTAAGTTGCTGAGTGTCTATGAAGCCAAAAGTAACACCGGTTAACCAATACAGTCATATTCTTAATCTCCTGTTCTATTGCATTCTTCTGTGTCACACTCGATCCGAAATAAATTAACTCTGCCACTTTTTCCAACTTATATGACCCGATTGTCATTGTTTCTCCTTCCAAGGGTGCTTCCCCAGACACCATGTACTTAGTTTTAGAGCAGTTTACTTCTAAATCCTGGTAGCATCACTGGTTCTACGGCGATCTTTAATTGTTTTTTTGCAAACATTGTTGAGGTCATTGATATTGATGATTTAGCTGCTTCTAACATCGTATTCGTGATGATTTCACAGTCTCTGTCGAAATTCATTTGGTATGGAGGAATTTGAGGTAGTGAGGCTAAGGAAGTGAACAGTGTCCAATCTTCTTTGTTTAGGTCCCGGTTTCATTCTAGAAGTATTCGTTATATCGAGGTTGATGATTATCGGAAAACAGCACTACTCTACAAGTCTGGCATTATCGTCCGTTCTATAATATTGAATAAGGTGAAATCACAGATAGGGCTGGCAATAGCTTAGTAAGTTACGTAAATAGCACTTAGGAAGGTAGGTTCTCCGGAGTTAAGTAAAAGTAGATTAAAGGGCAATTAAAGTGGTCTCCTGAAGGGCAATACAGAATGGGTCCATGTCTTGTATTAATATTTTAAAATAATAAAGACGTGATTTTAAGCCGTTGCTGTTCCACTGAAGTACCGACATGATTAGGTTTTACATAAATATAAATAAACACACACATACACATGTACATATATGTGTGTGATATACATACATAGGCATATATATTCATATGGTCATGCACACGCACATAGGTCAACAATACATAAGCATATAAATACGCACTCATGTATATAGATAAATTAACATAATAAAAAGAAAATAAATAAACAAAAATAGAATACTTTTTATTTATATATATTTTGGAATTTGAAACGCACCGTAGAATGTCAGGGGGAAACATGAAAATATTTTGATTTAAAATAGTTTGTAATATTCTATTGAACATAATTTGACATGTAAAGAAGGAAATTGAATTCTTATATAAAAATATACTAATAAAAACTGCACAGTTGGTATATAGCATATGTTCCTTAAAGAAGGATTAATGGAGAAAGTAATTTGACAGCTTGATGGTTGACTGATGATCTGATGACAAAAGACTGATGATTTTTTAATGATAAACATGCCTTAGCTTTATATATATTCTGTAATATCATTTGTTTAAAGTACAATAAACAAAACTAAAAATTAATATTTTGTGCGTTTTTTTTTTCCTGTTCCAAAAATTGCAATTAAGGATTTGCGACCCATCGTTTACGTGGCCAGCACCAACGTTTATAAAGGAGGTTTAAATATAAAAAAATGTTTCATCCATTAGTTTTTTATACAAATTTGAGTATAAGGTATTATTTTCCTGGAACAGTTGATATCATATATTTTTCGACTACTTAACCTCAGAACCATTGTAATGTCTTTTACCAATTGACCAATAATCGGTAAATCTGTATATTTGCTATTGGTCTAAGGATCCTAATATGCATTTGATCCAATTCACCTAATAGATAGCTTTTCTTAAAGTAAGGTAAAAGTTCCAAACAACATTAAACTAATCCAATTTTTTTTTAATAAGTTAGTTTAGTTAACAGACTCATTTGATCAAAGAAAACTAAATCTTAGTTTTATAATAAGTCTAAGATTAATTTTGTTTAGTACTTATTATAAAAAAATATATATAATTTTTCTACTAATTAATTTGCGTAATTACTTTCTTGCCTATATCTCTATCAACTATAGGGACGTTCCAACTCCAACACTGACAACTACTGGTGCAATGAAAAATTTCTATTAATTCGATGAATGTTTCTTTCATTTCAATAGCTAGTTTGGTAGCTGGGAATTATTTCTATAAGAAAAACGCCTAAAGTTTCAAAGAAATTTAAGCATATCAACTACTCGTGCATTCACCCTACCTGTTTATGGTATATAGGCTTATGCTATCTTAGTTAAGAAACATGAATGGTGTATTTTAATTACTTCGTTATTATTTTTATTATTATAATTATTTAGGGTTTCTTTTAAACTATAAGATCATATGAATAAAATGTAAACCTAAAAGTTATTGAAATATTATTCATCTGGCTTTATACATTCATTGTTTATAGAAATTAATATTTATTAATATGAAAAATGATGTTTACCAACTGCTTTCTTCCACACAATTGTAGGTTCTGGATAACCTTCAGCTTGGCAATCAAGCATTACATCAAAACCTAAAACTACATTTGTATCTGAGGGTTCTATTGTCCATCTTGGTAGAACTGAAAAACAAAAATTAATAAAAAATTATGAACTCTTTCACAAGTTATTAGAAAAGGATAAAATATTGCTAAAAATAATACCATTAACAGTAAAAGGAACAGTGAAACTTTCAGAACCAGCAATATTTTGTGCAATGCAGGTGTAATTTGCACTGTGAGAAGATTCAATTTTATCAATCACTAAAGATGTAGAATACTCGTCCAGACGACGTACAACTACTCCAATTCCTAAATCATCTTTATTATTTCTTTGCCATTTAAATGAGAGAGGAAGATCACCTTCTAAAACTTGGCAGGATATTGCTGCACGCATACCTTCCCTCAACACATTTGTCAGAGCCTGAGTAGGGAGAATTTTCGGTGGCACTAAGAAACATAATTATAACATTGATTAAAATAAATTTTCTAAATAAACAAAAATACAATAAAATAACATGACTCGAGGCATGACGTCAAAGGATTGAAATTTCATTCAACAAAAAAGACGCGTTTTTCTGTATGTATATATATATATATATATATATATATATATATATATTATATATATATATATATATATATATTACAATAAAAGTGTTTATTGACGTAAGGCACGAATCACTTTGGAATGTATTAAATTAACACCGTCTAAGACAGTACAATGTATCAGATAGACAAATACAATCAAAGAAGAGACGCTAAAGGTTACAACACAAAGTTAAGGTTTTCCACAGCCATAACATCAATATAAAAATTTAATGTACTTGTCAATAACAAAACATTATAAAGTTAACATAAATAATTTGTAAAACACAAATAAAATATTTTTTTTTTACAGAATTACTTTTTTATTGATAAATATTAAAATCTGTCTCAATAAAGGTCATTTATAATAGAGTTCAGAGAGCACATTCACACCATATTTACAAAATCCAAAAATAAATAAGGTAATTTCAAAATAATATACAACGAAATAAGAACAAAATAAAATATCATAATGAAGGAAGAAAATATAAATAACGGTAATAATAAAATTAAAATAAACATCTTAGACGCAGGCGTACCTATTTACACTATTTACAATCGGTCATGGGAACTCCAAACCAGACGTGTCCCCCCACTTGTGCCGGGAAAAGCGAGGCTTCATGAGATCCCTACACTTCCCCCTCAACCACTTCAGTGGTATTAAAAGCCAGCGGAGACTGAGTAAGGGAGCTACAACCACAGACACTCATGCCTTGAGTGGAGAATCTGGCCATTGCCAGAACTCCAATATATACATGTTACAAAAGGTCACGGGGACACTGCCGTTTTAATCTACGAGGAGGATTGTACTGATAGATGGTGCAAGATAGGGACTGTGCTAGGGGATTAGGGTGGTGGGTAAGGTTATGACGAAATTAGGAGAATTTGTTTGGGATAATATCAAGAATTATTCACATTTCCGACGCAGCGGGTACAATAACTCAGCCTGCTACAACGGCATTATCAACTACCTCTTTAGGTATGTCTGGATACGACATTGGGCAATTAATCAACAAACATGGTTTCACTCAAGTAAAAGGAGCTAAAAATATAACCTAATTACAAATCAATATTTTACATTAACATACAATGCATCACTCATTGTTATCTCTGTGTGTGTATACCAGTGTTGGGCAAAAATTATCTTAAATAATACATAATAGATAACGAATAATTTATTCGAACTTTCAACTACGAATAACAAATAATTCTGTTTATCTTTTATCCAAATAATTAATTCACGTTGTCTATTATCTTTTTATTTGTTATTCGAGTTTTCAAATAAATTTCGAATAATTTAATTTTTCTTTAATATAAGGGCCAAATTATATATTTTCGGATCCATAGTTTTTGAAAATAATGTCCATTTTGAAATTACGCCCAGCGTTTTGACTTCTTTGAGTTTTTCGGATTTCTTTCATCTGTGGGTATATCTATATGTTTTAATTTAGTATTTTTTCAGAGTTGTTGATTATGGAAATGATTTCCATTTTAAGACTATGCCCCTAGGTTTCGTACTAATGTGCAGAAAAAATAAAGTATAAAATTCAAGATATATTAGGTAAACGGTCAGTTTAATTTAGATGAAATATTGTTTATGAAACCCTGCATCAAATTTTGAATGTAAAAGGTCAAATTAATTTTTTTTTTATCACCATGTACACTGATCCAGGAACCCAGCAACCCGGCGCTACTCTCTCAACTTCATCACTGGTTCTAAAGACAGCAGATATTGATCGAGAGCGCTCGCTTTAGCCACTTACACTTATGTCTTGAGTGGAGAATCTGAACATTACCAGAACTTCAATATATACAAACTACAAAAGATCACGGTGCCACTGCCGTTTTAATCTTCTTGGAGGATTATACGGATGGGTGGAACTTGATAGTGATTGTGCATGTTGATTTGGAAGATACCTAAGGTTCTTAAAGCCGTATTTTTAAAAATGGTTTCCATTTTGAGATTATACCATTGCGTTTTGACTTATTTGAGCCTTTCGTCTTTCATTCATATGAGGATCTATTTATATGTTTTCAGAGTTGTAGTTTTTGAAAATGATGTCCATTATAAAATTAGGCCACTGCGTTTTACATATTTGAGTTTTTCGGATTTCTTTCATTTGTGGATTTATCTATTTGTTTTATTTATTATCTTTTCAGAGCTGTTGATTTTGGAAATGATTTCCATTTTTAGAATAAGTCCCTGGGTTTCGTACTAATGTGTAGGAAAAAGAAAGGATAAAATTCAAGTTAAATTAGGTAAAATAATTGAATGGCCAGTTTAATCTAGATGGAATAGTGTTTATGATACCCTGCATCAAATTTTAAATGTAAAAGATCAAATTTTTTTTTATCACCATGTACACTGATCTAGGAGCCCAGCATCCCGGCGCTAAAGACGGCGGGGCGGGTTACGAATTGAAGGCAACCACTCCAATATGGTAAAATGTAACAATGTCTTATGGAGAAATATATTTATTTTTAAATATTACTTTTTTTAGCAAATATTTAAGAATCCTACAGTTTATAGAATCTCAAAATCTTCCTTCATACCAGTTCGGATTCCGTTCCCAACACTCCACAGTCCAACAAGGACTTCGAGTGGTCGATCATATTTCCGCAGCCCTGGAAAGCAAGCAATATTGCTCGGGTGCATTTCTGGACATAGCTCAAGCTTTAAACCGAGTATGGCACGCCGGGCTTATTTTCAAACTTAAAACCTATCTTCCTCAGTCCTTATACCTTGTCCTCCGTTTCTACCTCTCAGATCGTACCTCCCGAGTTCGCTGCGGCACTGAATTTTCAAATTGCTATCTAATTGAGGCTGGTGTTCCTCATGATAGCGTATTGGGTCCCGTCCTTTACATCCTCTTTACCGCCGATATCCCTGTCCATCCCGATACCTTCCTGGCAACTTTTGCAGATGACACCGCCATTCTATCATCCGACTCAGATCCTGATATACCATCCTTAAACCTTCAAAGACACCTCTCCCTGATTGAGCACTGATGTAATAAATGGCGTATTAAAGTAAACGAATCCAAATACCAACACATCACCTTCACGCTCCGACGCAGTTCCTGTCCACCAGTACACTTTAATTCCATACAGCTTCCTTTCTCAGACACAGTCCGGCACCTTGGCTTTCTTTTAGACAGACGACTAACGTGGAACCCTCATACTAAACTTAAAATACAGAAACTAAACCGACGATACGGACAACTATACAGCTACTAAACAGAAAATCTAAACTTTCTATTGAAAATAAATTACTTATCTACAAGACAATACTGAAACCTACTTGGACTTACGGACTTGAACTGTGGGGAACAGCCAAATTTTCGAACATCAAACGCATCCAACCCTTCCAATCCAAAGTAATTCGAACAATAGTCGATGCGCTTTTTTATGTAACCAACATAACCCTACACCATGACCTTAATATCCCATTTGTCCTAGACCTTATCCCAGAAAAATTCTCCAAATTTCACCAGAACCTTAATTATCATCCAAATCCCTTTGCACAATTTCTATCCAACCCCACTCATTCCTATAATCTTCCAAGGAGGTTAAAACAGCAGCGGTCCCGCGACCTTTTATAGTTTGTAAATATTGGAGATCTGGCAATAGCGAGATTCTCCACTCAAGACATGAGTGTATGTGGCTAAAGCACTCTTGCTCAATCTCCACTGGGTTTAGCCCCAGTGGCACGGTTGAGAGAGAAGTGCAGGGATCTCCGGGAGTCATGCTTTTCCTATTACAGTTGGAGGGACAAGTCTGGTTTGGAGTTCTCTCGCCAGATTGTAAATATTGTATATAGGTATGTATGTGTTCTTTTTATTTATTTATTTTTACGTTAATTTATTCTGATTTATTGTATATATATTATTTTTCTGTATAGTTTATTTTATTTATTGTACATAGATTATGAATGTGATCTCAGAACACTATTATAAAATGTCCTCGTTTTTTCTCTTCATTTTTCAATATTTTTCAATAAATAAGTCTAAAAAAAATAACCATAGTTATCCAATTGTATTAAATAAATATCCGAAACGCAGTGGCGTAATCATAAAATGGGCATCACTTTCGAAAACTATGGCTCCCAAAACGTATAAATAGACTCTCATATGAAAAAAATCCGAAAAACTCAAATTAATAAAAACACAGTGGCGTAATCTCAAAATAGACATCATTTTCAAAAACTACGGCTCCAATCACATATAAATACACCTTTTCAAATTAAGGCATGGCAAATAACTCTCATGAGTTCTTAATAGGCAATATTCAAAATTATGGGCAACCTTCTACTTTTATGCAGTGGACTGTATTTTAATGGACTGGTAGGTTTTACTGATTTTGCGAAAATAACTTACCATACTTACGTCGGTTCAAAACATCTCTTTTTACATTAAGAGCTCTTGTAGCATCTGGAGCATCTACCGTGACTGGCTGTCTATGCTGATCTACTCGGCTACTAGGGCTGGAGTGGCCAGAGAAACCGGCAGCTCTTGCGGATTAAGTTTTATCTTTTATATCTTGTGATCTGCCCCCACCACTCGCTATAACGCGGGAAATTCAAACCATATTCGCACAAACAACCTTCATGTGAAAGGAACCATAAAAACTGAAATAAGTCAAAACGCAGTGGACTAATCTCAAAATGGGCATCATTTCTAAAAACTACGGCTCCGAAAACAAATTAATAGACCCTCATATGAAAAAAATCTTAATAACTCAAGTAAGTCAAAACGCAGCGGCGTAATCTCACAATGAACACCATTTCCAAAAACTACGGTTCCAATCACA